ACTTCCAAAAACATTCAGCTTTGATATTAATGAGTTTTTTGGGTTCATTGAGAACATGGTTGTTGTTCAATAATAAAATTATTCCTCAAAAATGCCTAATAATTCTGCACTCCCTGTACTAAAATAATCTAAACCATTTGTACAACTCACAAAGCCCCTAAAACTTAATCTTAACTTGATATTTTGTAAAACCTTACCTATGATTAGAAAAAACAAATGTAAATTTTCAACTTGTGAAAAGAATTACATCTCTTCCATCACTGCTGTTGTTGTGGGACGGGGTGAAAATAACCCCTCATATTGGTTCTAGCAGTAAAGCCAGCATGTCATTACACTTGAGAGCTGTACAAAGTTAAAACTGGTAATTTATTTTCTTTTGTGACTGTCACAAAAATGTAAAGATGGCGTGTTAGCTACTTTCCATGTGAGTTTCACAAGGTGAGCAAAGGTTGCTTCAAGAAGGCAGCCCAAAACTGAAAAATGTCACAGTGTGTGCAGTTTTAAAGGCTGCTACTGCTGGCACTCTACAGCTGTTAGGTTGGGACCAAGGAAAGTATTGCTTCACTTCAGTGTCTCTTATGTTGGGTTTAGTAAATACCGGAGTCATTCTGTATACAGCCTCGATCTTTTACATTGAGAACAGTGGGGGATTTTCTATCCAATTTTCTAATCCAGTTTTTTTTAACATGAGTGAAAAAATATGGGGCTGAGATGGAAAAGTTATCATATCATTAATAATAATGTGTGACATAGGAAAAATGTCATATCTCTAGCATGTCTACCACATTCTTTTTGATTGTTTTATAGTTTTTTGAAAACAACTGAAGACTTTTCACAACCAGCTGTTACTGCAGCTTGTCAATTGGGGAATGAACAAGATAATACGTTTCCCCTATACAGACTGTGACCACATTTAGTTAAACTTTGCGGCACATTTAAAAGAAAAGTCAGCTGCTGTATAGCTCACCTGTTCCACGTTGTATCCATGTTTTTCTTTGGCAATAGCAATGTATTCATCAACTGTGGAGGGAGACACACACAGACTGTTAGATGGATCTGATCTTTTGTGTCAAAAAGAAGAAAGAAAAAAAGAAATCACAGAAGGTGGACTAAATATTTTCAGTCAAACACAATATTAACATTACGTTTGGAGTCAATGATGGTGTGATAAGGAGACCAAACCAGCATCCCTCCGCTGTCTTTATCTGTGTACTTGGTGGCACCTGTACAAACATTATAGAAAAATGATAAAAATAACAGATTTTATTCAGCTGCTGCTAATTTAACACTTATAAGTTATTTTATCAGTGATATACACCAGATACAGTTTGTACATATGTTATTACAGAATATCATCAGGGAAAAACAATTCCTATTACTCCTTCTGTTTGAGCCACTTCAGTAGCAAGCAATATTTATTTATATAGCACTTGCCATAAAAAGGAGTCATCAAGTGCTGTCATGAAAATAATGAAAAACAGCAGAAAGTTTTATAGCAGGTAAAACAATAAACAAAAATGTAAAAGAAATTAAAAGACACCAAAAAAGTAAAAAAGATACTAGACTCGATGAGAAAACATATACTGCACTAAAGCAGAACTCACACAACACACTCTACTGAAATTCCAGACTATATATCTCTGGCTGACTTCCACAGACTCAGCAAACCTCAGTGAACAGGCAGAGTATTCCAATAGTTGGACATGATAGTCTCAGTATGGTTCTCCTCAGTACGATTGTCCAAGGAGGAAAAAGAAAACGTCAATACTAAAATTAATTTAAAATTAAGCTGTATTTCAGCTGAATGAAGCAAATACGGCACCTATTGTTCCAAATAATTATCATAACACAACATGGCTTCAAAGAGAAAGGCCTCTACTCGACTAACAGCTATGTAGTTGATGTTCATTATTGCAGGCTTAATGGGTCATGGATGCAATATTGAGCTGTGTCAGACCACATGGAAAATCGTTCGGGTCGCTGGCTGTACAGAGCAGGGGGGGAACCATAGCTGAACTTACCAGAGAGTCCAGACTGTGGGGAAGTACAATGAGCAAATAAAGAGTGAAATCTGGAGCAGAGCAGTTGAAGGGGTTTCAGGCCGGTTCAATCTTTCACAGTAAGCACTCCGTTTTTTTTTCTTAGCATAGCAAATACCATACCTTATCCAAAATACCTTACCGTAATGCTCTTCTAATACAATAATTAAATTATTTAGCTGTAGGACATTCTTTAGCAGGTTTTAAAATCTATTTTACCTTCACAATGTGTAATTAAATTATCTAAATGCTAAATAAATGACGAAATGAGGTATGAGTCGAGAATTGCACAGCACTCTTTTAATAAAACGATCATGGTTAATTATATGACTCAAAACGAACTGTAATCATGATCAAACTCCAGTCGTACTTTTCCACCTGACATTTTATATTCTTAATAAATTCACGACAGTCATAGCTGTCAGTGAAGTTTGTGTCACTTCGGTTCATGTTTGCCTCCGCGGCCTTTACGCTGACTTTAAAACAAGCTGATACCACAGCAAGCCGACTGAAAATCGGACTCTTAACTATTACTGCAGTCAGTTTTAATCCACTAGCAAACTAACGTATTGGCAGTGAGCGTAGTACAGTACAGTCTGATACTGTACACATACCGAGGCTACCACGGCTCATCACTCAGGTAGAAAACAATAAAAACTCACCGGGCTCAAAATCGGGGATTGTGGCCTGGTAGTCTGCTCCAACACGCATTCCTACATCTGGAAAACACAAACAACAACCACGAAAACAGTTTGATTTAACTAGTCATATTCAAAACACGGACATCGGGAGCGGTAAGAAGCTGTTCGAGGCTATATCACCGTGTTCGTCGTCGCTGCCACTTTCGTCAGAAAAATGTCCGTTAGAGGCTGTGGATGGACTTTTGGTGCCATTTGAGCGACCCTTCCCTAAATAATCCGAGCCCTTTTCCATCATGCCCGGCATCTCTGCGCTCTGATTCACCGATTTTAGCTTCTATGTCGGGATATAAAATGTCAGCAGGAGCTGGACGTTTTTCTTTTGCTGCTGTTTATTCCGTCGCCGCAGCTCTATCCGTGTCGCTGTAACCCTTCTCGTGACTCTCACCGTGCTTGCACGGTTAATTCCGGCTGCGATATGCTATGTGTAACAACCGAGCAATCTCTTCTTAGTTTTTAGCAAATCTTTAATCCAAATTGTTCCTCCGAGGGATATTTTAGTTGCGTAGACCTGTAGCTGGGGGCCTAACCATGGCGGCGGAAGTCTTTTTACGCACCTTTGGGTGCGGTAGTGCGACTCCTGCTGCTGCGGTACCGTTGAAATGAGATTCCTCCGCCGAGACAAACTGAAGAAGAAAAAAACAGTCAGGAGGTTTAGTGCCAACAAAATGCAGATTCAGCATTAGGATAACGCAACGGTGAATGCAGAATATCCGGAAACTGTAAATATTACCAATAAATCATTGTAAATGTCATAATTTCAAATAAATTCATGTCAGGTTATTCTTATATCGTATGTCAGGTTATTACAGACTGTATATTGTATGTCCTACCACTGACAACACTTAATGATTATGCGACCTGTTATCCTGTTATTGTTGTTTAAAATTTGCTTATTAATTACCCTTCTGCGTGGACTCTCTGCGACCAGTAGAGAAAGATCCCGCACAGCAATGAAGCATTTAAACTGCACTGTAAGCTAAAGGAATCCACTAACACATAATATCTGTAATAACGAAGATACTTGCAGGTATATAAGCCTTCAGACTCCCTGTGATTTATTTAATCACTTGGTTTGTAAAAAGTGTTTGGCCCCTTCAGGATTTTCTATTTTTTTATATGGTCGTCACACTTAAATGATTCAGATCATCAAACAAATTTTAATATTGGAGAGAAAAAAACACAAGTAAACACGAAATTCACTTTGTAAATGGTGCTTATTATTAAGGGGGAAAAATCCTAACCCTATATAGCCCTGGGTGAAAACTAACACAGGGCCATGTAAGTTGATGACAAAGTACCTGTTCTTCATCGGCTGGGAGCAAAGCAGTTTTCACCTGAACGCTGCACTATAAGTGTTAGTGATTGTCTCTGTCCTTTAAGGCTGCTTCTCTGTTGTTTCTCTGAAGATTGCTAATTCGTCATCTCTTCTGTGCAGAAGCCTGGATGTTTCCCTGGCCAAGTGTTTTTGTGAGTGAGAGAGAGAGAGCCAAGGAGGAGATTCTGTGTCTGCATGGATTTAAAAGTGTAAATTTGATTCACCCACAGAGTTACTTTTCCCAATTTATAAATATAGTCTGTGATTAATTACTTGATTGAAGATGCTGTAAATAACTTCTATGAGGACTGTAAATAACTGGTCGTGCATCAACGTACAGGATTACGTTAAGTATGTGATTGGGTACATTAGCACTTTCGTTAACAACAATGCCAACACCTTTAACATGGTCATTCCCCACAAACACACCCATAAACTGTCTACACTTGGCCTGTACCTCACCTGGACTCTTTGACTGGGAAGCCTCAGTCTGTCAGTGTTGGTAATAAACCTTCAGCCGGTATTACTATAAACATGGGCACTCCACAAAGAGGCATTTTCAGTCCCATCCGCTACACTCTGTTCACCAACAACTGTGTTACCTATCACAAAGATAACATCATCTTAAAGTTTGTGGACAACACCATCCTGATAGGACACAGTACATACAAAGCGACCCACAGAAGGGAGGTCTGATGTCTATGTGCGAGAACAACAACCTCACTCTCAACACAGCCAAGACAAAAGAGATCATAGTGGAAGAAGAGGGGATTCCACCTGCCACCGGTCATCTGGGAGCTGGAAGTGGAGAGGGTACGCTGCTTGGGTATCTACATCAGTGAGGACGTGTAATACCAAGTAGTCTGGTATGTTGCCTAAAATCCTCAGCAGTGTCTACAGCTGCATTGTGGAGAATATCTTGACCAGTACAGTAATGCCAGTGCTATGCACCACAAATGCCTGCAAAGTAGTGAGGACTGCCAAACAATTTTCAAGTTTTCACAATTGATTATTAAGTATTTATTGGCATCAGACAAACTGGAAAGGATGCCACTGCCTATTGAACAGAATTTTTGTAATATGGAACAATAAAGGCATTAATGTGATTGGTTAAAAAAGTTGGGCCAAGGCAAGGGTTTAAACTTGGCCCTCCCTTTATGGTCTTTGTCCATCCCTTGGTCATGTTTCATCTTCTGCACTGGGCTTGTCCTGCAAGATAAGAGCAGACAACTCCTCCCACTTCACCATGGCAACAACTCTGTCAGCCCTGGGGAGGAAGGGTGAGAGGGATGAAAGAGAGAGAGAAAGAGAGAGCGCTCTTCTCTAAAACTTTTGAATAAAACTTTTGAACAAGATGGAAAAAAAGTCACAAAATACTTGCACTATAAGAAAAATTCTAAAAACAAGCAGCATAGCCTGCTAATCTTCTGTCAAAAAGTTATTAGGCCTTTTTTAATGAAATAAATTGATTTTTACAGTAATCGCCATTAAACAGGCATTCAGTTATTGGCAAAATGGAAACATTCTTATTTACAGCACAGCCTCTGTATCAATAACTTCTTTATCAAATCTGTACCACTAGTACTCAACACCTGTAGAACTAATAACACGTAGGCTTCATTTTGTGTTAAATATAAAGCTATTTTATTTCACTCTATTTCTCCTTTGACAAGATCAGTAAATTGCAGTTACACCAACATGAATAAATAAATTCACAAACTGAACATCTTTTAAACAAACTTTCCAGGTATAAGTTGTATCTCATGTGAATGTGTTCTTATATATGCATTCAAGTATTCGCTCGTCTATTGTAAGACACATATGATCTTGGGTATCATCTGATTCTTAATCCATAAAGTTCAATCTCATGTCGACCCAGCCTTTGCAACTATCACAGCCGAAATTGTGGTTTATTAAAATGGGACAAACAGACAAATGGCACAGCTGTCGTGCCGAAAATAAATGCGCACTATCACAATATCATAGTGACTTTTCCAGTTACGATCACATGGCCGCAAACTCGGTACAGTAGAAATGCGGTATAGCTTACAAACGTAGTCCTTGTGCGTGTGTGTGTGTGTGAGAGAGAGATTTCACTGTATTTCTAAGTTTTTTCACTTAGAAAAAACGGTGAACCTGTCAGAGGGCTGAAGACTTGAAAACTATTTCTCTTTGGAAAAGCGAGCGAAATCCCTCACCTCGGGAAACCCAGGTGCAACACTTTGAAGCACATTGGTTCCGTTTAGGTGGCCCCACTTTACATTTTCAGCATAAAGTAAAAAAAAACAACACACACATTTGTTTTCACTACAGGTGCAATTACTTACTGTGGTACGTTTTCTTAATACCGAAATATTATGTCTGCAGTGTTTTTAATTGCAATCAGTGACGTGATGATAATGTAATGCTCACTGTATAAAGCATCAATACGCCTCTCTCACTCCTCTGGCATCCACCCTCTCTCCCCACATATGTTTGAAGCTCGCTCTATCACAGCCAGTCTCTGGCCCATCTCGAAGCTTGTGCAGCAACAATCTGCCAATAGCGAGCCTGCTGAGGTGGGGAGAGAGCGAGCACAAGCACATACTATACAGCGTGCGAAGCTCGTGTTTATATGTAATATGTGAGCAGCAGGAAGCAGCTCGCTCTGCTCATTGCAGAAGGACGGCAGGATGGCGAGAGGACGGCGGGGTCTCGTGGCCCCTCAGAACACGTTTCTAGAGAACATCGTCCGCCGGTCCAACGGTAAGATACGATCCGGTTCTGATCTATTCTGCACCTGGCTTCAAATGGTGATAATATATTTCTTATATATAATGTTTTGTGATTTTGTTGCTCATTTCGCCTTCAGGCATAGCCACATAAACACACACGGGCAATTGCTAAAAACCTAAGTAGTACTGAAACCACAAGTAATTATGGTTTAAATTTATTATGGTAGCTCTTTACTTTCAGTGATGGCTATTCCTCTCTCTCTCTCTCTCTCTCTCTCTCTCTCTCTCTCTCTCTGTGTCACACACACACACACACACACACACACACACACACACACACACACACACACACACACACACACACACACACACACACATATATATATACATTTATAAAAATTATCCTAAATCAAAACATATATATATACACATATACATATACATATATATTCACACGTTGTAATAGTTACAAAAGGCACATAGGCTCCTTATTAACAAGTAGGGGTATGGCAAATCAATTTCATAGAGCAAAGTTTATTAGATAAACAACTACCAATTTAGAGCTGCAGAGAATAAAAACAAACTAAATAGCAGGGCTGACAGTACCAAACCGTTAAGACACTTTATTAATAAACATTACTTTAAAGGACCAGGTTCACTGCCATGATGCTGCCCTTGGTTAAAATAGCAGCTCAAGAAAATAGTTAACTAAAATGGTGGAGACTAGCCACTTGAAGGCAACCTACAGGGAGGAGGGACCAAGGGTGCCACCAATCACTCACCCGTGTAATCTTTCTGAAATCCTCACTGCCACTCTCACTGCAAGTTAAATGGCCCGTTATACTTGTTTCCCGGTATGTACACTCCAATCCACAAAAGGGAATTCCACCACACGTGCCTAGCCCCCCTCCCCCTGTAAGCAGCTGTGTCTTCACTAAAGAAAATTAAACTAAACATGCATATCAAGCAATACAGAACACAAAATTCAGGAAATATTATATACAGGAATACAAACACACACACACCGTTTAAAATACAATTATTAGCAGTACAACTAAAAGCATGATTAAAATATAACAAACTGTTAACACTAAAGCACTATAGAACAAGGAACCAATCGATGCCAGTCAAACACAACAGCAACAAAGCAACAAAGGGTACAAGACAGCAGCGGTGTGTAGGCCTGTAACAAGAGAAAGAAACCAGTTATCCAGGGTCCACCCTACTTCTAAAAACAAAGAAAAGTACAAATGAAGTCACTTAAAAACAGTAAAAGTATGTAAGTGCAAATTGCATCAATAAATAATATGTACACTATAAAACTAAGAAAATTTTCTAATTGTTACTCGCTGCTCTCTATGGGCGTATTTGCTTTAACTAAAGCCACACTAATCAGGGGGAATAATTATTTTACTAAATCACAGCCTGTATAGTAACATACTACATTTACCTTTGCTGTAAGCTAACATTACCATCACACCTCACTGAATTGAATAAAATTACTCAGCTGCATTAATTCAAACTGACACTACTCTACATTTATAATAATAATAATAATCAGTTTGTGGTTCCAAGTTTCACAAGAAACAATTTTCTTGAATGTTTTGCAAAGTACTGGTTGTTAAAGTAAATCCCTTTTTTGCTGCTAGTGCTCTCTCAGAAATGCCCAGACTTGTCCCATTGTTGCTTATACTAGGAAATGTAAATGTGCTGCATTGGTATCGAAAAGATACTTGCAAAATGGATGGATGGATATTTTTTTTTCATATCACCAGGCACTAATTTAAATGTTAGGAAGTTCCTCTAGACATGCTTTGAATTACACCAGCCATTATTCAGTAAAAGGGGGTAACTGCATCTCTAATTATATATTAACAAAAGACATTCATGAAGACTCAAGAAGGAATGCAGCACACTAAATCCAGTGCCAAGACCATGACCATGCTGGAAAAGATAAGCAACTTTAATGACTTGAGTTTTCATTCATTATATTTATATGATGTCAATTTACAACAGTCACCTCAAGGCACTTTTATATTGTAAAGACCCTAAGACAATAATAGAAGAAAAATAGAGTACTTAGAGGAAGATGTCCGTGAAGGTTATCAGTCATCCAGGTCATCGTAGTCAAAGGAGCTGGGAAAGAAAAGCGTCTGGACTTTTTTAAGTTGCTTGAAGACGTTTCACCTCTCATCCGAGAAGCTTCTTCAGTTCTATAGTCAAATGGTGGAGAGTCCCAGATTTAAGATCTGTGGAAGTAACCCACCACGAGGGACAATTGACCCAATAATGATCCTCTACCTAATCACATGAGCCAAGGTGTGAAAATGGGTGTAGGTCACAATCAGCCAGAGTTTCGGGTGAGCTCATTGTGAAACCTACCCCCACCCTATCATGTGATTTCCTGAGGTCAGATGGCCCAGGATGTGAGTGAGCGTTAAGGCGTCTGGGAAGGGATCTCAAAACTGGATTATAGATGGCAGACAATTAGTGTTGTAAACACCGCCTGAGAGCAATGAGAGGCGAAACGTCTTCAAGCAACTTAAAGAAGTCCAGACGCTTTTCTTTCCAAGCTCCTTAGAGTACTTAGAGGAAGTAACAAGCAAGACAGTATTTTCCCCATAGTAGCTTCTTTTCATTGCCTTCGTGTTAAATCCAGAATCAAATTTCAACGTCCTTCTCCTTATGTAAGGTCTTGAATAATCAGGCCCCATTTACCATCCATATTTTATCTGTGAAAAGTGCTTTATAAATAAATGTTACTTACTTAATTACTTTCTTAGCCTCTGGTTCCTGAGGTAAAAGTAGAATGTGGGGCAGAAAAAAAAGAGTTTTTCTTTTCTGCCGTCGCCTTGTTTCCTCATAGAACATCTGATTGTTGGGGGTGGGATGGGAATCAAGAACCAGTTCCCAGGAGTTCAATTCCTTTGAACTGTTAGTCTGTGTGCCTGCTCATTGATTCCACTTGCACTTGTACTACAATCAGCTGATTTTGGCACATTCTTAAAGGTGGATATAGACATTACTTTTATTTTTAATTCAGAAAAGGACAAAAATACAAGAGTAAGTGGAACCTCCATCCAGGACAAACACATTTTGCTGCCAACACAAATTCGGCTCTTTGCAAGTACCTGCACAGACAACATGCTAACACTAAGCTAGCTAAAAACCTAGATTGATGTCAAAGCTGAGTGAATCCCATCCCTGGTCCAGCAACTAGACCCTGAACTTCAACAGGTAACAAACAAATCAGTAAGAGAATCAATAAGTAATATCACTAATCGATACCAATAATAATGGTATTGGAATTGATAAATTCTTATTAATTCCCATCCACTATTAGAGGTTTCCCCTCTGTTATTGGAGGGTCCCAACCTTACAATAAAACGCACGTGGAGGACACTGTTGTGATTTGGCACTTTATAAATTAACCTGAATTGAACTGAATTGAAAAATGACCGTCTTTTAATAGCACAGGTATTAAGTGTAGGCCAGTTGGTTATTAAATAAAAAGAATCATCATAATTAGTTTAACACTGATTTTACAGGTGTAAAAGTAAGGCAATTATTTATTAGTTTAATTTACCACTTAATTGCTTAGCAATAATTACTTACGTAATAGTTAGCTTAACTTAGCTTCTCTATTGGGTTTGGTGCTATTGAACAACCAAAATATTTTATCAAAATAATGTGGACTCTGGAAGGCTGCAATGGGCATTTTTTAAACTAGTTGTTGTAGCCCTCGTGAAATGTGGAGAAATATTGTGTATGCTGGATTCATATAATTTTTCAGTCATGTGATGTTGCGAAGTAGGGCAGACTATCACTTATTGGTTTCTGTGGTCAGATACCAATTTTGTGCTGGGAAACGCTCAGATCGTGGAGTGGCCAATCGTCTATAGCAATGATGGCTTCTGTAAACTCTCTGGCTACCATCGTGCTGAGGTCATGCAAAAGAGCAGCACCTGCAGGTACCACAACACACATGGATACCACCGCATGGATTATTGAGGACTGATTGTCTCAAGTAAATGTTTACTGTATCAATGCAAATACTTGGTTTTCCTCTGCAGCTTCATGTATGGAGAGCTGACAGACAAGGAAATGAGTGAGAAGGTTCGACAGACCTTTGAGAACTACGAGATGAACTCTTTTGAGATTCTGATGTACAAGAAAAACCGTGAGTATTTAATAGTACTGGATATGACCGTGTAAGCTGCATCCAAAAATGTTTGTATGAACTGCTTCCTCAAAAACCCAGATACCTAAGGATCTCAAGAAATCTAGAAATTGTATATATGCTAATCTGGGACACACCATGCTAAAAGCTCACAGCCTTTTAATTACTTAGCCAGGGGTCAGCAACCTTTAACACCCAAAGAGCCATTGGACCCGGTTTCCACGCAAAAGAAAACACTGGGAGCCGCAAATACTTTTTGACATCTAAAATGAAGATAACACTGTATATATTGTTTTTTTACCTTTATGCTTTGTGTGAACAACTAAAGTAAGTAAGTAAAGTTTATTTATTAAGCGCTTTTCACAGACAGGCAGTCACAAAGCGCTGTACACAAATATTAAAATAAACAATACAATCAATAGACATTATACACAATGTAAAAGATCAAATGTAAATAATGTAAAGAATATAAAATACGTAGATCAACAAAAGGCTTGTTTGAACAGAAAAGTTTTTAACTGCTTTTTAAAAGAATCCACAGAGCAACTAAGGTGTGTTGCTTATGAAATCCATGAAGTGCTACAGAGAAAATTACATTTTATTTATGTAATTAACACATTTTGAACTCTTAAAGAAATATAACAAAAGGAAAGACACCCAGCTGAACTAAAATGATCCATGAGCAAACAAAAACTGTTGTGAGCCGCCACCCTTATATCGCCTTTGGGCTTTTGGAGCCTTGACCTGACTTTTAAAAATAATTGGAAAAAAAGCACTATGCTGCTAAAAATGAAAAATAGATATTTGCAAAATTCTGCCTAAATATGTATTTTACCTGGTTAATGTGTGTGGCGGGGCGTGGTCTGAAGCGCCGCTGCAGGGGAGTCGGACGCACCTGAGTGGGACCCGCAATCACGCCTCGCTGCCTTAAAGTCTGTGCCCTCTCTGCTGTTGAAAAGCTACAGCTGGCTGTATGCTACAGCAACCGTGTGTGAAAAGTGGTCAATAAAGAGATGCTGAAAAGCATGATCATGCAAACATCGTCAGGTCTGCCGTGATATGTTTACAATAAGACTTATGGTCCCGAACCTCTGCGCACAGCGTCTGCAAATCGGGGCTTTCATCTTTACGCAGGACTGTAAGCTGTCATCTGTGAGGCGTGAGTGGTGTTTGTTTTTAACGTAGTTCACGGTGGAGAACAGCTGCCGACATAATCTGGATCCGAAGATCCACGATTGGCCTACCTGGGGTTGAAAGTCTCGATAAACGCACAGCATTTTGGCGGGTACACCGGCTTCCGCGAGTGTGACGCTTATTTTGAGCAATGAAAAAATAAAAAGATATAATTTTATTTTTATATTTCAAAATCACAATAATCTTCCAATTTAGAACTACAAGGTAAAAAAGACCTAACATAAATAAAATACACTTCAGCTAAATACTTATAATTTATTTTCCCAAACCACCCGGAGCCGCAAAATAAAGACTAAAGAGCCGCGGGTTGCTGATCCCTGACCTAGCCTATTACATTTGCAAACAACTTTTGCCAGTAAACAAAAAAAAATGTATTTGATAAAGAATTCAGAAGGTGAAGGTTCCTTTATTTTTTATTTCTGTGTTTTTATATATTTTTATAAGCATAACACCACCTAAAGCAAACTTCACACATCATACAAAATAACTTAGTATTTAACAAGACTTTGGTTTTAAAATGGTATTGATTCTTCTAAGTTGTAAGATTATACTATACAACTTTCCATTTTGATAAAATTTATGGTTGGATCAGGTGACCCAGAACACTTGTTTAGGTATGCTGCAATAGGTCAAGGCTGCTGGAGGCTGCATATCAACAGAAACACTGGGCTTTCTTGGCTCCCATGTTATCTTTTTCTCTGTTGGTGACAAGTTGTATAGTTAGGGGTTGTTTTGTGTAAAGGATCAGTGAAAAAAATATTGTTCTTTTTTTTCTGCCTGGATAGAAAGTTATCGGTGAAATTTAAATCTCTCTATTTGGGAGCAAATAACATAATTAGAATAGAAGATATCAAGCTAATGCC